CATTTGTACATTCATTGCCTCATCATTCTCAAAACATTTCCTCTCCACTTAAGCCCCAGGCATTAGGTCTTCATTATCCCCCTCCCTCCCCGCTCCCCACTCCCTCATGAGCCCTTGATAATTTATAAATTGTTATTTTGCTGGACATCTTATTTCTCCTTTAGCCATGAATGATAGTTTGATTAGAATTCAAGTTTGACATTTTTTTTCTCAATGCCTTAAAGATATTCCATGGTCTTCTGCCTTATGTTGTCATGTTGAGTATATACAGTGTAATTATTGTTGCTATGTAGGGATCCTGCCTTTTTCCTGTTTTAATGATTTTTTTTTTCCTCTGTGGTGTTCGCCAGTCTAGGTGAGATTTATTTTAATTTTTTCCCCGTCTGGTGTCCTTGTTTTCCTTGAATCTAAGGGATTACATCTTTCACCAACTGTAGAAAGTTCTCAACCACTATATATATATTTTTAAACTATATTCTTAATATCTCTTCTCCCCATTCTTTCTAGTCTCCCTCCTTAGACATCCGTCAAATATATGTCAGACTTTGTCCTTATGTGCTCCAGGTCTTCTAAACTTCATTTTATGTATTTATTTTTTCTTCTTTTTTGCCTCTCTGAGTTGTGTTCAAAGTAATTTCTTCAGATCTGTTTTCAGGTTTACTAACTGTTTCCTCCGCTTTATTTTATCTGTTCCGTTATTGTTTCCATGATGATATTTGTCATTTCTGTTTGTCTTGTTTTTCAAATCTGCCTATTCTGTTTTGTATAGACTGTTAGGGGTTTAGGCTCTTCGTTTGTTTAATTATTTTCATGTTGTTGCCACTGAATCTGCCTCCATTTCTGGCACCCTTATGTATAACAGAGCAAGCATTGCCTGGCCCGTGTTTTTGATATTTTTTACATATATACAAGGGCAAGTCATAAAGTTCTAGTTCAGACGTGCACAGTTTATCCCATACCAAACCTGGTTAACCATGTCTCTGCGGTGTGTGTGGATGACTGCAGACAGGTCCTCTCAGGCATACGCTTGCCTTCCCAGAAACAAGCCCACTAGTAATAGTGACTTCTGAGGGCCCTGCCAGGCCCCATCTGCATTCACGGCAGAGATCCGCTCCTACAATTGTTTGTGGGGATCCCCAAGGGATAATCTGGGGAGATTTCCATGAAGGACCCAGGAGGCAGATGGGGCTTATCATGCGGAAGTGTTGAGAAACCTGAACTACTTTACTGGGGGAGAGGCCAAGAGAGTGGTGCTGAGGAGTTTCGTGGGGAAACCTTATCCTCCCTGGCCCAGGTTTTGCTCCTTTGGGCTTCCTGTTCTTCCCTAAACGCAGAGAACATTGAAGGGAATGTTTTGAGGCTCTCCAGGAGGCTCTCCAGGGTGGGGGTCGGGGTGGGGCGGGGTAGGCAGACTGCAAAAGCAGCTACAGGAAGTTCGGAATTGCCGCTTGGGCGCTGAGCATTTGTTTGGCTGTGAACCTAGAGAGATGGACAAAGTGCCTTCGGAAGTGTATAGACCTCGACGGGGGTCTGCCAAGGGACAATAGCTTTGGTGGTTTTGTTTCATAAAGGCTTCTACAGTTTTTGTAACAGTATGGTTTTCCCTCACATACACAGCAGAAGATGCACCGTTCTTCATTGTCTTCAAATGCAGTTCAATAGTACTGGTTACCATCATTTTTCCGGAACAGACACTTGTAGGTTTTAACGTAAATTATTGTTTCCTAAAGTGGGATGGTAGCCGAAGTGATGGCAAAAAAATTAGTAACCAGGGCTGCCCTTTTTATTTGAGTGGTTACATGTGTTTATTTTAGCCGCCATTAGAAGAAGCCTCATCAGCCCATGAAGCTCAGTTTCATAAATATTTACTCTCAAGCACTGCCAGAAAAAGCTTCAATAATAGTCGAGGTGAAATCTAGGTGGACCAGAAGTCTTGAAGCTGAGCATGGCTGCCTTTGGAAAACACTGGCAGTGTGGTAATCGCAGAAACCCCACCCCCACCCCCCTTGCTGGCTCTCCTCGGAGGCCCTGGTAACAGATGATCCCAGCCTCCTCATTGGGTGCTCGGCTGGCACAGCTCCGTGCCACATGCCCACCCAGAGCAACAGACGCGTCTCTGCAGCTCGCTCTGGAAGAAGAGAACACAATGTGACCCCCAGTAAAAGCTGGGTGATTTGGAACATGCCGCGGTGCTATGGGCTCTGCTAAGCAGCACCACATACCCCTGCCCTCTGTCGCCTTCCTTCTCACAGAGAGGAGTCATTTGTCCAAGCCGTAGGCACTTTGAAAACCATCATCTGTAGAATGACCTGCAGGCCTGGATCTATGCATACAAAGCAGAAGGGGGAAAGCCCATCCCCCCCAGCCAGGCTGACCCTTGTGGTCACCCTCCACGCCTGTGCTCTCTTGTCCCCACTGGGGCTCTCAGACCATCCTTCCGTCTCGCCTCCGGGGCCTGCTCAGGGGCGCACCTTCCTCAGAGCCTTCACAGGCTCCTCGGCTGAATGTGGTCCTCGGTGCTTCCAGTCTCTTCTCTTCCCCACGCTTCTGGTACCCACGCTGAGAGCCTGCCGGGCACCGAGGAGGGGCTTCTTGAGGTACTGCCACCTGACTGTCCAGGGCAAGCCGTCTGCTACTGGCTGCATGGCCCTGGGGCTATGGGGCTTCATGTTTCTGTAGACTGGCCCCGGGCCACTGCAGTCTGCTTCTAACCGAGAGGGGTGCAGCTGCAGCAGATCTGAAATCAGGGCAGCTTTATGCAAGGGGCTTAAGGCCCCAAACCTTACTTTTCAACTTCACTTCCAGTTGCAATTTAATTCTGTTTCTGTTGTGTTGTTTGTGTTTTGTGTTGTTTAATGCCAGGCCTGACCCGAATTTTTATTTTTTATTTTTAAAATTGGTTTTAAAGGCACACAAATGGCTCTTGCCTTGCAGTTTGGAAAACATTGGTCCAGAGCATGTGATTCATTTGATCGCTTTAATAACTTGGAAACTGTCTTGAGATGGTGAGAGGAACAGAGGTTCTTCACAGCTCTGCTGAGGCTGGGAGCTAGAGGCCCCATTCGTGAGTGCGCTCTGCTCAGACCACAGGGCTGACCACTCTGCAGACACATCTGAACCCGCTGGTTCTGTCACGACACTGCATGGAAAGGCCACAGAAAAGCACGAGGGCCCCGCTGGAGCATGCGGACTTTGTGGCTGTGCAGCCCTGGGCCGTGGGTCTTTAAACCAGCCCTCCGCAGGTGTGAGCTGCAGAAATTAGCCCCGCTCTTTTTAAACACTGGCTGCCCCTGCGATCAGGGTTGAGTCTGCAAACCCAGCACACCTGCTGGTAAAGATGTATTGTCTCCGAAGACAACTGAACTGGCACTTTACCCTGTACCCCATCTCTCCGTAGGGTGTGCTGATCTCCAAACCCTGGACACCATGCAGCCCACTGAGAGGAAAAGGCAGGGCTACATCCATGAGCTGATCCAGACCGAGGAGCGCTACATGGATGACCTGCAGCTCGTGCTAGAGGTGAGGGGCCCTGGGCGGCCCAGGAGGTCCACACCCATCTCCACCTCCCAGGAGAAGGCGGGTCCCCCAGGGCAGAGCAAGGGCTCCCCTTTCATGAGATGTCACACCCTCTAAATCAGGGGGTCTCAACCTTCCGAATGCCACCACCCTTTAATACAGTTCCTCATGTGGTGGTGACCCCCTCAACCATAAAATTATTTTCGTTGCTACTTCACTGTAATTTTGCTACTGTGATGAATCGGGTGACCCCCGTGAAAGTGCCGTTCGCCCATCAAAGGGGCCGACCCACAGGTTGAGAACCGCTGCTCTAAATGCTCTGTGTGTGTGTCTGCCTTTTGAGTGGTGCTTGAAGACTTAAATTCTCTAATGGTGGTGAAGCAATTACATGTGGGGCTGCTTAACCCCAAGGTCTGTAGTTCAAAACCACCAGCCTCTCCAAGAGGGAGGAAGGGAGAGAGACAGAGAGCTAGCTTTTGACCCCATAAAGTTACAGTCTAAGAAACTGTCAGAGGCAGTTCTGTCATGTCCTATAGAGTCACCATGGGTCAGAATTGGCAATCAGGGTTTTTGGTTGGTTGGTTGGTTGTTTTGTAATCAGGATGTGGGGGCCATGCTGGGGCAGTGGTTAAACACTTCACTGTTAACCAATAGGTCAGAGGTTTGAACCTATCAGCCGCCCCGAGAGAGAAAGACGAGGTTCTCTGCTCCTTCAAAGACTTCGGCCTTGGAATCCCTAGGGGGCAGCTCTGCTTTGTTCTGGAGGGCCCCTGTGAGTCAGTCAACTCGATGGCCCCCAACACCAGTAATCAGGGCATCATCAGCTCTTTCCCCCGGGAGTCACGCAGAGCAGAAGCAGGAGAGCAAGATGCCCAATCTGGGCGGGGTAGAAGTCCCCTCGAGGAAGAACCAGCGATGGATTGAGCTTTATCTTCCTCACATTGCGGCCAGAGCCGGAGTGTCCTTCACAGCTCTTCCATCATTCCAGAGAAGTCTGGCACAGGGGGCGAGTGTTCACCCTGTGTTTGTATCAGTTTGGGGAGCCACCAAGGGGCATACTGGGAAACCCTCCCCAAACACCATCGTCCTGCTGTTGGTTGGTGTCTGTGCGTGTTCATGTTACGGGGACCTCTTAGCTGATGGCAGCTGCCTTCACTAGTGGGGCCCTGTAATGTGGCTTGTGTTTGCATGAACAAAATGAGATGTCTAATTTTGCTTTGGTTCCCAAGGCTTTTTTGTCCCATTGAAATTGTCCAGGGCCCTCAGACAAGGAGTTAAATCAATAAACCACGTGCAGAGAGCAGGTGTCCTCACACAGGCCCCACAGGTGCGCCTTATACCTGCCGTGACTTCGCTGGCAGCCTGGAGCAGCTGCTTGGCCCGATGCTGCTTCACTCTCCGCTCTGAAAGCAGGCTGGAAGAGCCTGGTTGACAAGGTCTCTTCCCCCAGAGCCATGAGGCCCTTTAGAGCCGCTTTGTCCTCCCTCCTTCTTCCTCCCTCCCCAGCCTTCAGCCTGGCCCTTGTAGACTTGCGTGGAAATGCTGAATGGATAAGGGGTGTGTGTGTGTGTGTGTCGACATTTCTCCATCCAGAACAAAGGGCCTAGAGAAATGCTCTAAAAAACAAAACCAAACAAAACCCTCTAAGGTCAGAATAGGAGCCCTGTTGGCGTGGTTGGTGACACGTTGGAGTGAAATCTGCAAGGTTGGCAGTTGGAAGCCACCAGGTGCTCCTCAGAAGAAGGACACGGCTTTCGGCGACCTTAAAGCGTTAACAATCTCACAGGAGCCGTTCTACCCTCTCCTCTATGAGTCAGCTTCGACTAGATGGCAGTGAATGGATGAGTGAGTGAGTGAGTGAGTGAGTGAGTGAGTGAGTGAGTGAGTGAGTGAGTGAGTGAATCAAAGTTGGAATTGACAGTGAGTTTGGAGTTTTTTTAAAGTAGTCAGATGATCACGTGTTACAGGCTGGAGCTTCCCCGTAGGATTTTCTTGGTTGTAATCTTTACGGAGAGGCATCCTGGTGGCACAGTGTTTACGTGTTGGGCTGTTGTCTACAACGTCATCAGTTCAAAACCACCAGCCAGCTCAGTGGGAGAGACGAGGCTTTTGACTCCCGTAAAGAGTTAACAGTCTTCGGAAACTCCCAGGGGTGGTTCTACCCTGTCCGACAGGGTGCCTATGAGTCAGACTAGACTCGGTGGGAGTGGGTTTGGAAGTTGGGGTGCAGAGTACAGGTGTAGGGTATTATTATTTTTTCCTTTGATCAGCTAAGCCCCTGAAGCCCACATCTGAGTGGCGGTCAGCCTTGAGCAAGCACAAGCCATCACTGTCTCCCTCGATGTTCTTCACAGTTCAGGCTGCTCTGCCCAGCTGCCCGATACCAGCTGCCCGGGTCTCAGCTGGATGCCAGAGTCTCCACCGACTGAGGAGGAGGCTACAGGGGCTCTGCCTTCATCAGAACCCCGATAGCATGAAGTTGGGAATTTAAAATATTGGAATCATACTTACATTTATTTACCAATATACTATAATCCTTGTAGGAGCCCTGATGGTATACTGCAGTGGTTCTCAACCTTTCTCCTGCAGCACCCTTTAATACAGTTTCTCATGTGGTGGTGACTCCCTATGTGGGCGTATCTGCACGTGGGCAGACCCTCCTGGAGACGGATTGAGGAGCAGTGTCTTGGTCCCTAAGACTATCGGAAATAGGATCTTATGCGACCCCTGTGAAAGGGTCATTCGACACCCCCTACCCCCCAAAGGGGTCGCGACCCCCAGGTTGAGAACCACTGGTGTAGTGGGTTACACTTTGGGCTGCTGATCGCAAAGTCAGCAGTTTGAAACCCCTAACCTCTCCATGGGAGAAAGAGGAGGATAGAGTGGCAGTCTCCATGAAGGGAGAGGACTTACTTTAGACCACTCGTGGGCGATGTCCTAGTGTTCTGACTTTCCAGGCTAACCTACTTTGTGTTTTGAGTGCAGGTTTTTCAGAAACGGATGGCCGAGTCAGGCTTTCTGACTGAAGGGGAAATGGCCTTGATCTTTGTTAACTGGAAAGAGCTCATCATGTCCAACACCAAGCTGCTGAAGTAAGTCCTGAGCGCCCCCGTCATGAGTCCAGTCCTGCGGCTGGCACTCCTCGCTCTCTGTGGCAGCCTGTGGAGCAAAGCGTTGTTCCGTCATGCCTGCCCCCTCGGGCTCCTATCTCATGGCATTCCTTGTAACTCTGAAATGCATAATTATTGAGGAAAGACTCATTAGAGAGATATAGCAAAGGAAATACTTTGTATTTCAAAGTAACCATTGATTCATGAAAGAAATAATGGGTGCACTTAAGATGTTCCACGAGTCCAGGAGCAGCGTAGAACTGGAAGAGGAGCTGCGGCTCAGGGCCAGACGTGGCTGGTCACTTGGGCATTGCCGTAGCCCCCCGACCCCCAGTCCTCCGGAAGCCCCGTTTCTGGGGTGACTTTCCCTCCTCCCTCAGGCCCAGGAGGCTCTGTCCTTGGTGCTCAGTGGCTCCCACACACACACCTGCCTTTCCCCCAGAGCATCCTGGGAAGTTTCTTCCCTCTGTGTGTAACGGTAAGAGCATCTTAGAATTTCCTTTGCTAAGAAACTCAAACCACGAGAATCCCCAAAGCCGAGAAACCTCCCCAGCTGGCTGCCCAAGGCACTCGCTTCCAGACTCTGAAGTGAGCCTCGTGTGTGGGTTGCAGGGCCCTGCGGGTTCGGAAGAAGACAGGGGGTGAGAAGATGCCGGTGCAGATGATCGGGGACATCCTGGCGGCTGAGCTCGCCCACCTGCAGGCGTACATACGCTTCTGTAGCTGTCAGCTGAACGGGGCTGCCTTGGTCCAGCAGAAGACTGACGAAGACTCGGACTTCAAGGAGTTTTTAAAGGTGAGCCCGCCCAGCACTGCCCAGATGTCTTTGCGGCCGTATTAGGTGAGCAGCCCCGCTTTGGACCTGGGGGTGGGAGGGCGAGGTGTGTCTGTGTGTGTGCACTGGCACAGTTAGGAATGCCAGCGGTGGGGAAGGTCCCCCCATGAGTCCCCAAGGGAAACACGGGAGAGGAACAGCTCTGGCCGGTGGCTCTGTGCCATCTTTCATGTTGGTCTGATTTCCTTCCCTCTCTCCTGCTTTCTGGTTTTGTGACCATCCTGTTGCCCATGGGATACGAGAGTGGTGTTTGTTTCTTGCCCTTAAGCTCTCTTACCTAAATCAGCTATTTTACACCCCCAAAGGAATATCTAGAAAGGTCATTTTCATTTTAACATTAATTTATATCTACCATACTCCAGAGTGAATATGAAATTGCCCACTTAGTCTAGCAAAACGCAACAAGATACATACTTTCCATTAATGTGTAAGTAAAATGAGAGTGGGGGTGGATGGGAAGAGACCTCAGGAAATAGAATATATGAAGCACACATCTGATGTTCGTGGCACATTAGAAATGTAGACATTGGACATGCCCGTCTTAGAGGCTGAGCACTCTGCTCAGGCCCTGTGCTAGGATTAGGCATAGACACAAATTAGATATGGTCCTTAGCTTCGTGGAATTCATACTCTGGCAGGGGATGGGAGCACCTGAGACGTGGTCCCTCCCCCTGTGTTCCCCAGTTATGATGAAGGCAGTGTGTGTCAGAGTGGTGCCGGGCCCCCGGGGGGTGGGGTCCGTGGCTGCTATTTCAGAAGTCAATCACCAGGATTTTCTCCTGAGGTACCTTTGGGTAAATGCGAAGCTCCAACCTTTGGGTTCGCAACGGGACTCCGTGGCAGGACATGTGGAGCAGCACCTAAAGCTGTGAGTGGGCATAATTCACCCGGAGCAAGAGAGGAAGGAGGCGGGTTGGGAGTAGAAGGAGGATATGCAAAGTGTGGCTATCAACTCCACAAACACCTGCCTCCTCAGCCTTGAGACCAGAAGAACTGGATGTGCCCGGCTGCCACTACTGACCACTGGATCAAAGTTGCCATAGAAGACTTCTGGTGAAAAGTGGGGGGGTAGGGGGGGAGCAGAGTAGAATAAAAAATCTCATGGACTTTCTGAAGCCATAAAGAGTGGATGAGCTCCTAAAACTCTTACCCTGAGCCCATCTTTAAACCTTAATCCAAAAGTATCCCCTGATGTCCTCTTAAACACTAGCTTAAGTCGTAATAAAAATCTGCCTTGGACATTTTGTCCTGTTAAGTACCACCCATATAGGCTCCGATGGACTACATGGACTTGAAAGACTAGATGAGAGCCTTAGGGGCCGTGAGTTCGTGCTGAGGGAGACGAACAGTTCAGAAAGGGGGGAGGAGAACGTTTTCACAACCCAAAGTGTACGAACAAGCTGTCGGAAGTGGTGTGTGCTTTGCTGTGTATATTCTGAACAACGACATAATACATTCTAATTACGGGTGGCAAGTGATAACAGTGTGCTGAAGGTGGCCGGGAAGATACCAGGGGAGGCTGGTGCCTAGGAGTGAGGCAGGGACATGATTATCACGGGTGTCCCCAGGGAACTGCACAGCACCTAGGGAGTGCGGCTGTGAGCTGAGAGATTCCTGTGTTTCTCTGGGCACTATCACTTAGCCCCTGAAGGACTGAAGGGAACGAGAACCCTTCAAAGGGCTGGCCCAAGTCCGGAAGATGGCCTGTGTTTCCTTTGCCTTGTTTGGGGAGGGAAGGTCTTTACAAACCCTCTTGATTGCTTTCTCAGAAGCTGGCATCTGACCCTCGATGTAAAGGGATGCCCCTGTCCAGCTTCCTGCTGAAGCCCATGCAGAGGATCACCCGCTACCCTCTCCTCATCAGAAGCGTGAGTGCTCAGACTGGTGCGGCCCCATCTGGCTTGGAAGTAGGACCCTGTGAGGCACGCGGAGGCTAGATACTTGAGGAGGTGGGCGGATCCGCACAGGGGTCAGACAGGCAGACCCAGTAGCCAGCTCAGGCGATATGGCCCCGCAGAGGTGCTTCTGCTGCTGAGAGACCGGGCACCCATGTACATGGGGGCTGGGGGGGAGGCGAGTGTTTGCGTTGAGTGGGGAGATGTGCTCTAAAGGGCTCAGTCCTTACAGCAGGCAGATGAAAGAAGTCTCCCGTGTCCTCCTCCCTTCCAGGAGACTTTGCTGGCCTCCGAGTCAGTCATTTGCTGGTCTAGGCGGGGTAAGGCCTCCACTTGTCACTCAAGATTGAGCCCGGAGGTGGGGCCGCTCACCCATGACCATAACCTTGGGTTCCTGTCTCATCTGTCGAGCCCTACCGGGATGTCCAACTCCAACTCGGCATGTCCAATGTCCTAATAGCTCGCCCTTGTCACACAGGCTGACTGAAAAGACACGTCTCCTCAGGTCCCCCGGCCCCCATCTTCCTTCCTTTTGACACAGTATGAATCTCTGAAGCCACTTTCGTGTTCCAAGGAGGCGGACTTTACAAACGATTATCCCACCAACAGTCATTGATCACCCTGCCAAGAAAATAGCGGGACCAGCATCAGACTGTTGCTGTGTGGATCTTCCCCTAGCCCCCGGGCTGGACGCTCTATGAACCCAACGCAGACTTGATGTATCGATGCTGCTACCAAATCTACTGAAACAGGGTCAGATGCATCCTAACTCAGAGATTATACAAGGGGGCCGCAAAAAGTTCATGGGAGAATTCCCATAGCTTTTAATCCCGTTTTACCGCACTCTGTGAAGCCCCTCATCTATTATGCAACACCCCAAGGGAGAATGGGCAGCACCTATCGTCAGATACACTAATAATTCTAGAGTGAAATATAGGAGTAAGGAGGAGGAGGACTACACAGAAGAGCTCTTCCGTTCGGGCCAGATGGTGGCACCCAATGAAGGCTGAGCAGAAACTTGGGTTCTGAGTGTGTTGTTAAAAACTGTAAGTGAAGGGCAGCCTGCTGCGGGCAGCTAGTGTGGGGGAAGCACGCTGAGTTATCTTCTGGCTTCTTTCTCTGCTCTTCCAGCAAGCGTTCAAAATCACTTCAGAATGAGCTGCTTGTGTTTCCCTCACACTGCCAGTGTGATTTTATTGTGTTTGTCCTGAGAGTGGGGATCACTGCTGTCCTCAAAGTGTTCAGAAGGGCAGTGACTCTCCCCACCCCCACCCGGTTTGGTACAACTGCGGGTTCGGGGACACTAACAGCTAACCAGAACGGCAGCCAGTTCACACTGGAGGGGGCATGGCGGAAACTACTGGGGGAAAGCAGCCTTCCGTCCAAGGCCAAGCCCCAGGACCCACTCAGAGAACAACTGGAAACACACACATTTCAGGGGCGCTTGGTTCCTGTGCTTGGTCCCAGTCTCCCTAAGGAGCCCTTGGACTGTGGGCTAAGGGGCAGAAACTGCCGTGCTGCTCATCCTTGTGTCTCCAGAGCCTCACGTGGCACCCAGTATATCGTGTGGTTGTCAGGCGGCCGGGGGACCGAGTGGGACTGACCCAGATGTTTCTCGGGCTGTCCTCTTAGAGGCACAGTTTGCCAGCCCTTGACTCACACGGAGTGGGAAGGGCAGGCTCCAACCGCTAACTTTGCAGTGACCGCCAAGCCCTTTAACCACTGTTCCACCAGAGCTCCTCCAACACAGTCTGGACCCTCTGACCCTGGACAGACAGGTGGGGGAGAAACAAGGCAGCCCACGTGATGCATGCCCTGCTCTCCTCTAGATTCTGGAGAACACCCCGGAGAGCCACGTGGACCACTCCTCCCTGAAGCTGGCCCTAGAGCGCGCCGAGGAGCTCTGCTCCCAAGTGAACGAGGGCGTGCGGGAGAAGGAGAACTCGGACCGGCTGGAGTGGATCCAGGCGCACGTGCAGTGTGAAGGCCTGGCCGAGGTGAGCCTGGGTGGGCGCCGAGTGCAGAGGCACCCCTCCTCGGAGTATCATTTTCCTCTCCTCTACGAAGAGGCAATTTGCTATTTTTGTTCTGAAGTCCTCGGACATCAGCCAGTCGCATCTGTGTCCTGGGGGTGAGAGTCACCCATTTCCCCAAGCCAGTTTCCCAGCTGGAGGGAAGGAGTGCCGGGACTCTTGGCGGAGCAGGAGGATTGGCCACCGGCCTCTCCCAGGGGGTGGGGGGGTGGGGAGGGTGGCCTGGACGGGTTTGTCCTGGTGCTCCTCGACTTCTCAAGTGACTCACTCTCTCTGTCTCTCTGTCTCTCTCTCTCTCTCTCTCAGCAACTTATTTTCAACTCGCTCACCAACTGCCTGGGGCCCCGGAAGCTGCTGCACAGCGGGAAGCTGTACAAGACCAAGAGCAACAAGGAGCTGCACGCCTTCCTCTTCAATGACTTCCTGCTCCTCACCTACATGGTCAAGCAGTTTGCCGTGTCCGCGGGCTCTGAGAAGCTGTTCAGCTCCAAGTCCAACGCTCAGTTCAAAATGTATAAGACGGTGAGTCTCGCACTGTAGCTTCGGGCCGTGCCAGCGTTTGCCTTTCCTTTAAGGGCCGCTTGCTGCCCACAACTTGTCTGCCTTCACGGCACCCTCGCTCCCCTGCTCCCACCACTCCCCCCACCCCCACCCCCCGCAGTCCCTCTCGCTGCCCTCTGATGGCCTCGGACTGGGTGTCCTGCTGTGGCCTGGCTCCCTCCCTGCCACTGACTTTTATGTGCACCCCCCACATCTGAGGGGGTGTCTGTAGCCCCCCAGGAAAGCCAGGCCTGAAATGCCAAGGGTCAGTGTGCCCAGCGGCGACCAGCCTTGTCCTCAGTGTGGGCACCACTCAGTGCCACCCCGCCCGGACATTGACTTTACCAAGGGGCCAGCTGCTTTGTTCCCTGTGGACAAGCTCCTCTCCTTCTCGTGCGGGTTTCCCACAGACAGAGCTCGGGTGCTGGACGCAGGTGTGTGGAGGTGTGTGGCCTGTCTCACTGCCCTTATTCTTTCAGCCCATTTTCCTGAATGAAGTCTTGGTGAAACTACCCACGGACCCTTCCAGCGATGAGCCTGTCTTCCACATTTCCCACATTGATCGTGTCTACACCCTCCGCACAGACAACATTAACGAGAGGTCAGTCCTGACCCCGTGTGACCTGCGGTGAAATGCAGGTCTCCCACACATCTCCCTCGACTGTAAAACCTCACTCCACTCCCTGCTCACATCCTACTAAGTACATCCCCACCCCTCCTTAGCAAGTCACCTGTGCTCCGTCCCCACGCAGAAGGCCCAGCTCTGGACCACTGCCGCCCCTCGCCATCTTCCCAAAGGGCGGCTCTAACCACCTCACTCCCCAGCTAAAACCCCTCAGGGTTTCCTGGGCCCCTCACACCATGCCAGCATCAGCCCCAGCTCCCTCCAGAGTGGCCAGCCCACCCCACCCCCTGCCCCTGTGTGGACCACCTCTTGTCTGGCCCCCTGGCCCACCCACCTCCTTCAGGGCTACCCACCAGTGGCCACACGGGGGTAGCGGCTCCTGCTCTAGGCGCATAGCTCTCAGGGTGCTGAATGGTCACTGTGACACTAATCTTGTCTCCGGGTGCCAGCACCGTGCAATCAAAAAATTCCCTTAGACGTTCTTTGCGCAGTCCTCGCTGAGCTAACAAGTTTCCCAGTCAGACCCGTGCTCGGTGATTTGTTGAGAGCACACTTGGGAAGCCATCTCACAGAGCTGGGGGGCGCCGGTGGGGGGCACCGTGAGGTGCCTGTGAGCACATCCGCCCCATGGCCATACTCTCCCTGCCCTCAGGACGGCCTGGGTCCAGAAGATCAAAGCCGCCTCTGAGCAGTACATCGACACCGAAAAGAGGAAACGAGAGAAGGCCTACCAAGGTATTGAGTGCCCTGCGGGTCAGAGCCGGCCCCCAGCAGGGCCCTGGGGAGTGGGTGGAGATGGATCCTGCTGGCCTCCGCCCACCTGTGGGTGACTGTGGATGTATCTAAAGACCACTCTGCTGTGGGCTGGACAGCAGAGGCTCACCAGCCCTCACCAACCACCCGTCCAAGGAGGGCCTCCAGCTCCTCTCCTGCTGCTGCTGCCCCTCGCCCATGACGCTCACTTGTAGTCCTGGGAGAGATGTCCTCGCAGCCAGAATGACCTCACCTCTGTTTACTCGTTCTTGCTCCAGCAACCGTCCGGTGTAGACTGTTTCCCTCTGGCTCGCAAACGCCCTCTGCTCTTCCTCCCCTGCCGCTAGGCCCCATCTCTTCCCCAGGACCTTTTCTGACAGCCCCTCTCGGCCTCCATCCCGGGTTTTCTGGGCTCTTGGGCTGCACTTGCCCTCCTCATCTTCTCACCAGCCTTCACCTCCACCCACTGTCCCTAGTGCTGGAAGTGGCTCTGTCCAAGGACATCCGTGGTCCCAGTACCTGTTGACCAGCTTCCTCGTCCCAGACCCCACAGTACTCCTGCCGCCTGATGGCTCTTTCTTCACCTCCCTCCGAGACCTTCCCCCAGTTATACCCAGGAGTTGGCTTTGCCTTGGATCCTCTCCCCACCTGCCCTCGCAGCTCTCTCCTGAGGTACCTGGTCTCAGCTCATTTTCTGTCTTTTTTTTGGTGGGGCGGGGTGGGGGTTGCAGTTGAAACTGCTACTTTTTTTATCCCCCAACAGTTTTATGGGCATATGATTCACATAGCACAGGAGTCAACCGTCAAGCACATGGAGAAGAGTTGTACAATCGTCACCACATCCGTTTTAGAACACTTTCTCTGGTCTTGTGCTCATCGATAGTAGCTTCCCTTTCCCCACTAACCTCCCCTGCCACGCCCCCAAGGAACCATGAATCCAGTTAGTGTCTGCTACAAATTTACCTCTCCTGGATTTCTTATATAGAAAAACCTTTAAAAACCAACAACTAACGAATCACAAAGCAAAGCAGATTAAAAACCCTCAATCAGAAAGTAGAAAATGGGAACGACTAGAACAATGTCAGTGGGTCCCAAGGAGGATCCCACGATAGAGTGCTGAAGGACCCGGCTTCAGTGGTCTCATCTGGGCATCGCCTCCCAATGCTCGACCTTCCTCTGCCTCTCCCTGGGGCCCTGCTATCAACTCAGATGGGCATTCTCCCGCTGCGATTGGTTTTCTTCTTTCCAGATGAGGCCTTCCACTTGCATGTCTCCTTGGATGATAGGATTGTCCTTGGCCACGCAGAACACATGGTGCCATGCCCCAGTGGCATGCAGTCTCTCATCACATTACCCTCCACAGTGGCTTCTCCCTGCCTTTCCCAGTGACATGGCCCAGTTAACGCTCCCTGTCTCCCATGCAGAATACAGCACGAGGTTCCTTAAGGCTGCTCCCCTCCCCCTCTACCAGCCGACCTCTCCATGCCTGAAGCATGCCTCTTTTAACTCTCAGCATACCTCTTCCCACAGAAACATCTTCCGTGTTGCTTCCCAAATGAAGGACACATTTCTTACTCCCAGGGCTTAGGGACCATACACAATATTCCCTGTTACTCAGCCTCACTCCCACTCTCTTGTGTGTCTACCCCACTCTAGTACCTCATCCAAACCCCCTGGCTCCCCAGTCATGCCTGCCTGCCGGCTGCTGCCATTCCATCTGAAAGACTCTGCTGTCACATGGTCTGGCAAGTAGGTTCAGATTCCAGTGGCCCTGCGCACAGCAGAAGGAAACCCCGCCTGGCCCTGGCCTGCCTCGGTGCTCACTGTGTCAGAGCCCAGGGTGGCAGCCACCCGTCCAGCTCACTGAGGGCCTTCCTCCTCCTGGCTGCCCCTCGGCTCTGCCCACGCAGCATCCTTCTCCAGGGACTGGTCCCTCCTGAGAACATGCCCCATCACCCTGGCTTCTCAGAAGCACCTGGCTGTACGTCTGTCTTCCGAGAGAGATCTGTTCATTCTTCTGCAGGTCACGCTGTTTCCGGCGTTCTTTGCTGCCAGCACGGTCGTTCAAACCCATCCATGCTGCTCACACCCTCTGCATTCATGGTCCGGCTTTCACAATTGCAGCTCACTGGAACATCGGCACTTAGGGCAGGCACAGCCTTGTCCTCAAAATCACACAGTTGCTTGCTAGCAGACAGGCCCCGGGCATGGTGTTACTGGGTTTCTTCACCAAAATCTTGGCCACGCCCATCTTTTCTCTGTTTCCCAGGATGCCATGGTTTGGCCCCGGGGTGAGGGTTTCTGTTTTCTTTCTGTTGAGTTGCAATCCATCCTGAAGGCGGCTGGAGCCTCGGCTCTTGTTCCGCTGGTTCCATGCCCAGTGTTGGGATTCCTCTGCCCCCCATCTCCTCTAGTGAGTCATGGTGACCTTTGCGTCCCGTCTGGATGGATTTTGAAGTCAGGCACTGGTCTTCCGGGAAATTAACCCTCTTTCGTGGGTGCCGCTGTGCTTTCTCTTGGGGGTCAGGCTGAGCCCAGGTTTACAGAGAGTCTCAGCCAGTTCTCTCCTCGCTGCCCAGCCGGGCTGGCTCTTTTTCTTTCTTTTTTAATGTGTGTTTTTTTATTCAGGTTCCCTTTAATTTGTTATATGCTCCTGCAAAGGTATGTGTAAACCAGCTTCTGCTCATGGGATCTTATCCTAAAAGTGTGCTATTGAAAAATCAATGATCAAATCATTCCATTCAAGCATATAAAATGATCTCTTCCAAACTGATCAAAGATACAAATCAAAGTGTCACCTGTGTCTATATTAGCATCAGTATCTGTATATGCTATTGTTCCTTTTCCATCCATTTAATCCCTCCAACATTTGCTGCGTTCTCCGTGTCCAGCCCTGGGCTAGTACTGACGGAGCCCATGGAGATGAAGGGGACCCAGGGGCACAGCCTGTGGAGGATGGGTGGGTGCAGGCTGAGGTCGGGAAGGCTCCACAGGCAGAGGTCACACTTGAACTGAGTTTTGAAAAATTAATAGCTTACCAGTCATCCTGAGTTTGGCTTCTAAACCCCTTCAGGGTTCGTGTTTACCAAGATACTATGAGTAGGGTGGCTAATTTCTGTCTGTATTAATGCTTTGAGTACCTCCTGTAGTAGAATAAGGTCTTAAGACTTCAGTGAAATTGCTTTCTCTAGAAGCAGTCAACTGCAGGGCTCACATTTCATGGGAAGTTCAGAAAAGAGACTTGGGCACCAGACAGATATCTGGCCTGCACTCAGACCTGGCATTTAGATACTCTGGGGCTTGAGTACATTTCAGTCCTTCCTACGCCTCAGTTTCCTCTTGACGTCTAGCTAAGAGGCAGGCAGTTCGAATCATCCCAGCAGAGCAGCATCTCGGGAGCCTGGCCTGGCAGTCAGCTTCCAGAAGGTCACAACCTTGCAAACTCGATGACGCAGGCCTGCTTTGCCTGCCGCGGGGTCTCCGTGACTGACCACAGCAGTGAACAGCAGCATATGCTCACACGCTGCCGTACAGGGTAGTTGTGTAGGATAAATATCTAACTCAAAGTTTAGAAAACAGAAACTGCCACTGAATCATTTCCAGCTCACAGTGACCCTCTAGGACAGTGGTTCTCAACCTGTGGGTCGTGACCCCTTTGGGGGTTGAATGACCCTTTCACCAGGGTCGCCCGATTCATAACAGTCACAACATTACAGTAAGAAAGTAGCGATGAAAATAATCCCATGGTTGGGGGTTCACTACAACATGAGGAACTATATTCAAGGGTCGCAGCATTAGGAAGGTTGAGAACCACTGCTCTAGGACAAGACAGAACTGCCCCTGTGGGTTTCCGAGACTGTAACTCTTCATGAGAGCAGAAAGCCTCATCTTTTTATCACAGAGTACCTGTTGGGTTTGAACTGCTGACCTTGCGGTTAGCAGCCCAATACATAACTCACTACACCACCCAGCTCCCTAACACAGTAAGTACCCCATAAAGGCTAGCTGTTGGTAAGTACTAGTCAACTAGAATGCATTGTTACTTTATGAAGACTTGCTGGGGAAACATAAGGGTGAGGAGAGCCATCTGTGCTCTCCAGGGGGCAGACATCACCCCGGATTTCAGGCCCCACAGGTGGGGGATGTTCTTAACCAGAGGAGGGCTGGGTCTGGCTGGAGATAGTAGTGGACCTGGCCTTGCAGGATGAGTGGGGTGCCAGCGGGCAGAGGTATCGGGAAAGGCCTTCCAGCAGCTGCCCCAGTGGCCGGTGGGGCTGGGGCGGCACTGCCAGTGGTGCTGCCCACTGCCCGATGCCATCACCTGGCTAGCTTCACTCCCAGAGAAAGTAACATGACTGGTCTCCTCTTTCATAGCCCGCTCTCAAAAGACTTCCGGCATCGGGCGTCTGATGGTGCATGTCATTGAAGCCACAGAATTAAAAGCCTGTAAACCAAATGGTAAATGTCTCTCTCCTTCAACAAACAGGGTCACTGCCCTGCTCTTTGCTGGTGGCTCTTCTGAACACTGAATGGTGGGGTGCTTCTCAAAGGGTGGTCCCGTGCCACCGAGTGGCGACAAGCCAGTGTATTGGACCAATGTTACGGCACTGTCTCCCCAGTGAGTCCCAGCACCTGCCTTCCTACTGCTCGCTGAGTCAAGGAGGGCGCACTGCGAGGTGCACGCGAGTCCCAGGCCCGTGGACCCGGTCCTGGCCTTAGAGCTTTGCTTGCTGGGGGAACACGGTGACGGGGTTACTCGCCCACAGGGTGGGTGGCCCCTCGGGTGCGGCTCTTGCTGTGAGGTCAGTTAGTGATGCATCTGTTTGGCCCCAAGGCCGCCCTGTGTGCCACTGTTCCCCGCCAGGGGCCCCCAGCTGACTTTGGTTGGTTGGTTTCTGTGCAGGGAAGAGTAATCCGTACTGCGAAGTCAGCATGGGCCCCCAGAGCTACACCACCAGAACCCTCCAGGACACCCTGAACCCCAAGTGGAATTTTAACTGCCAGTTCTTCATTAAAGACCTCTACCAGGACGTGCTGTGCCTCACCATGTTTGACAGAGACCAGTTTTCTCCAGATGGTAAAGCCCTCCCACCCCCACCCTCACCCCCGGGGGCTAGATCCCGAGTCCAGCCCCCGAGTCCGCAGCCTCTCCTCCAGCCCTGCACACTGAGGGAAACCGCATGTGCCCCCTCATCAGCTGCCCACTTGGGCAGCAGGTATGCTGCCCTCCGCAGGAGGAGACACCCTGTGACAGTGTGCCTTCCTCCCCCTAGGACGGCTCCGCAGGGGGTCTCGGCTACATGCCTAACATGGACCATGTGCTCAGAACCCCCCCCCCCCAGTCCTTTAAACTTATTCTTCTGTAGTAGTTTTTTTTTAGCAATTCCATTATTTCATTTTCCTTTTTTAAGTTTTGACTCATGATGTTTACCCGCCCCCCTCAGATTTCCTGGGTCGCACTGAAGTCCCTGTGGCAAAAATTCGGACTGAGCAGGAAAGCAAAGGCCCCACCACCCGCCGCCTGCTGCTGCACGAGGTCCCCACGGGGGAGGTCTGGGTCCGCTTGGACCTGCAGCTCTTTGAGCCAAGAACTGCCCCCTAGGGGTTTGGGGGGACCCCAGGAGGTTTTCCCACGCGGCTAGGCCGGAGGGAGCGGACTGTGCCCGCCCTGGGTTGAAGGGCCATCGCTCGGAGTCATCCTTCCCAAAGCCACGCACGCAGGGACCCTGCCCTTCACTGCGCACTAAATCGCTAGCCACCTATGCAACACGCCCTTTCCGGTACCGCAGCCAGTGCCTTGTTCCCGAGGGAGCTCGCTCTCCAGCCCGCCGCGAAGTCCCGCTTCCCGGGTTCAGGGCGAGACCAAGTATTGCGTGGAAAGGAGGCCCCGGCGCCCCCGTGGGCTGAATGTGGCCAGTGTGGAGTGTGTGGGTCACGGCCCCGCCACCCCAGGCCGGGTGACCGCCGCGGGGTCACGGCCACTCCGGAGCGCAAGTAATTGGGAGGAAACGAGGAGCCCCGGCCGCTTGAGCCCCAGCCCTGCAATGAAACGACGTCCACGCTGCACTGAAGAAACACGGAGACGTGATCCCTTATTCCTGATGAGTTTCTCTCGCTCACTGCTGGGACAATGTGGGCTGAAGTCTAAGGGAGAAAGTGTGATTTGCTCTAAATACTGTGAACTCTAATTAGTGATGGGGAAAATACGTTTTCCGTTTTAATTGTCTGAAGTATAAATTATTTATGTAAATGCTCTGGTTTTGCGTATTTCGTAGGATGTGCGTCTTTAAGCTTTGTCGTTGCCATATGTACAGAAAGAGAATTAAAATAATAAGTTTATGAACGTAACTTGCTCTGGGAGCCTGTCTGATTGGCTGTCACCAATGAAAAGCTCTTACCAGGTGACCTGGGGCGCTTGCTGGTCATGAGACCGCCCCGGGGCCCTTTCTGGCCCTTTGGGGAAAGCCCAGGAGGGGCTGGGATCCTGCCAGTCACGTGTGCTGCCCCCGTGGCGAGTTCCCCGGGGTTTCTTTGACGGCGATGGGGGATGGTCTCCACGGGAGCTAGGCTGGCTCGCCTTTGAATTTGACTTCTGCGCCCGTCAGCCCCCCTGGCTGATGGGACCCTCGGGGCAGCGTCTCAGTAAGGAAAATCCCCAGAGATGGGGCAGCACTCAGCAGGCCCACCCAACTGAAGGCCTCAGAGCCACCTGTCGTTTCTCCTGTTCAATAGTCCCCACTCCCTGGTCAGCTTCTAAAAGGTGAAAGTGTTTTCATGTAGATAAAAATCAGGTTTTCTCCAGTCGGCCCCTGGAGTGAGGGGGATGTACAGCTGGACAGAGCTCACTCTCTTTGTCTCTGACTCAGCGGGTGAACCAAAGGCCGTCTGGTCCTGGACCCCCGTGTTGCATCCACTGTATCAGTCCATCTCCTTGACGACCCTCCTCTCTGTTGCTTGACCAGACCTCCCCGGTAGGGCTCTGAGACTGTAACTCTTTGTGGAGCAGAAAGCCTTGCCTTGCTCCCAGCCTCACCCCCACCATAGCCCCTGGGTAAACATCATCCCTGGGCAAAGAAGACCTGGACATGCGGGTTCAATGAACTCCAGGTTTTTAAAAAAGATCATAACTCAACCCCAGTATTGATCGTGAGGTTAAGCCAGGCATAAAAGAAATATAACCCCGCATCCAAGGAGAAGATAATTACTTAATATCTGAAGCCCAAACACTGAATGTATCAATTAAGGGAAAGCTTGGCTGTGAACAGAGCAACTTGCTGGTCAGTATCAAGGTTGTGCAGCGTGATTTTTGGGGTTTTTTTTGCAGACTTTTTATGTAAGGTCATAAAATAGCTTTAAATTCCTGAGCACACTGGTGGTTGGCTATACTACGATCTACAGCTAAAAACTTTCCTTCCTGTAAGAGCCATTCCAGGGCTGTTGTAAGAATTACCTCGGGGGATAATATGAGAGGGCTTCCAAAAGTTCATGAGGGGAAAAAATGGAGTGAAAAGATAATGAAAATTTCCCATGAACTTTGGAAACTCTCTAGTAATGAGAGACAGTTCCACGGCTTGACTAAGAGTCATGTTTAGTATACACACTGGTTCTCGCCCTCTCCCCTATTGTGTTTACTTAAAATAGCCACGTTCTTCTGCCTCGTGGTTTTGTGGGTAAGGGTTTCAGCCAGAGGTTGTCTGAGCCCCTCTTCTGGGAGCTCCTGAAGTTACTCGGGGACAGTCACCTGGCAGACCAGTTGATCTGGAAAGCCAGAGGTAGCATCCGTCCAGGAAAGGCCAGACATCCTAGACTCAGCTGGGACTGCCGGCCCACGTGCCCACAACTGGCCGCTCCAGTGTAGTTCATCTTGGAGCCAAGACTCCTCCACTCCCAGCCCGGGTGCTAGGAGGTGGAAGCTGCTAGTCTCTGCAGATCTGGGCCCAGCTCCGGCCATAGAAACTTGGCCAGCACTGAAGGATTCCACACGGCAGGAGAGTGGTTTGTCTGTCCACTTGAAATTAGCCCATGTGCTACAAAAGCATTGAAGTCACTTCCAATGTAGCTTGTCCTCCTTTTGGAACCCCTCAGACCAGTGTTTAGCTCTGGTAAGATCGCGTAAGGACACAAGGGTTTGCAGGGCTGTGAGTTCTCGCTCGCTTTCCTTTGCGGTGTGGAGTGTAACGCACACAGTGAGGGCAGACAGCACGGTTGCATGGCCACCGCCTCACAGCAGTACGCTTTACTGTTCAGTGTTTGAATGGATGGAAACATCTCACACAGTTCTTGGTTCACACACACACACAACCCAGAAAACCAAACTCGCTGCCATCAGTCAGTGCCAACTCACAGCGACCCTACTGGACAGGGGGAAATTGCCCCTGTGAGTTTCCAAGACTGTACGCCTTTACAGGAGCTCAATAAATCATAGCTATAATTTTTTGTATTTCCTAAAGGGCCACCAACTATCATGACAAACTATGGATAATCCTGAGGAGAATGGGGATTCCCAAACACTTCATTGAGCTCCTGTGGAACTTGTACATGGATCAAGATGCAGTTGTGCAAATAGAACAAGGGAATGCTGTATGGTTGAAAATCAGGAAAGGTTTGTGACGGTGTTGTATCTTCTCACCATACTTATTCAGTCAGCACACTGAGCCAATCATCAGAGAAGCTGGGTTATATGAAGAGGGATGTGGCATCAGGATGGGAGGAAGGCTTATGAACCACTTGTGATGTGCAGATGACACCACCTTGCCTGCTGGAAGCGAGGAGGGCCTGAAGCACTTGCTGATGAAGACCAGCAAGGACTGCAGCCTGCAGGATGAATTACAATTCAATGTAAAGGAAGCCAAACGCCTCACAACTGGACCAGTAGGTAGCATGATAATGGAGACATGACTGAAGTTATCAAGGATCTAATCCTGCTTGGATCCACATTCAATACTCATGGAAGTAGCAGTCAAGAGATCCAAAGACGTGTTGCACTGGGCACATCTCCGGGCACAAGGCCTCTTTAGAGTGTTGAAAAGCAAGAATGTTACTTAGAGGACTAAGGTGTCCATGGTATTTTCAGTTGCTTCATATGCACGTGAAAGGTCGCCATTGGATTAGGGAGACCACAGAAGAATGGATGCATTTGAATTGTGCTGACGAAGAACATCGAAGGTACCGTGGACTGCTGCAAGGACACACGGTCTATTTTAGAAGTAGGGCCAGCGCTCCTTCGAGACGAGGACGGTGAGACTTCATCTCCTCTATTTGGATGCCTCCAGCCCCTGGCAAGGATGGCATGCTTGGTAAACAGAAGGGGCAGCAACAGAGAGGAAAGCCCTTGATGAGATGGACGGACACCGTGGCTGCAGCCATGGGCTCGGGCAGAGGAGCAGCGGTGAGACGGCACAGGACCGGGCAGGCGGGGGCTCATTCTGCTGTGCGGAAGGTAACAACGAGAGGTCAGACCGACTCGCTGGCACCTAGCAACACCAACAGGGTCCTGAGGAGCCCTGGTGGCATAGTGGTAGCATTTGGGTTGTTTACTGCAAGCTCAGCAGTTCAACACCACCAGCTGCTCTGCAGGAGCAAGACAGAGCCTTCTACTCTGTCCTGTGGGGCCGCTCTGCATCAGCATCCACTCGATAGCGTTGATTGACATAGGGTCGACTCGACGGGAGAGTGGTAGACCATCTCAGCTTCTGGAGAGGGGGGTGTTCACACTATTTTAAACAACTCTGGACGCCGCACGCTGAAGTTCAACGAAGCTTTATTACAGAGCCCTTCCTTACTGCTGGCACCCCTCACCCTGGCCCTGCCGGGTCCCCACCCGCAGTGAGGCCAGGTGCTTGGCTAGGTCCTCTGCCCTCATGACTCGCCTGTCCGCCCACTCCGGGGCCTCTCCGTAGTGCCTTTCAGCTTCTGGAGAGGGGGGTGTTCACACTATTTT